AGAGATGATGCAACCAGGTGAGTCAAACACGTGATCGGAGATGTGTATTTTATATAACACTACCAGTCAAAAGTTTTAGATCAGCAATATTTTTAATGTTTTTAAAATAAACCTCTTCTGCTCACCAAGGCTGCATTTATTTGATTAAAGATACACACACAAAAAAAATAGTTAAATATTATGCGAATTTAAAATAACTGTTTTCTATTTTAATATATTTTAAAAATGTATTCCTGTGACCAAAGCTGAATGTTCAGCATCATTACTCCAGTCTTCAGTGTCACATGATCCTTCAGAAATCACTCTAATATGAGGATCTGATGCTCAAGAAACAGTTTTCATTATTATTAATATTGAAAACAGTTTTCATTATTATTAATATTGAAAACAGTTATTTACATTTTTATTTCAGGATTCTTTGATGAATAAAAAGTTCAAAAGAACAGCATTTATCCGAAATCTAAAGCTTTTGTAACATTAAACACTACCGTTCAAAAGTTTGAGGTCTGTAGTAGTAAGAACTTTTATTTTATTTCTGGGGGGAAATAAATAAAAGAAATCAATACTTTTATTCATCAAGGATGAATTAAAATGATCAAAAGTGACAGTAAAGACATTTATAATGTTATAAAAGATTCTATTCCAAATAATTGCTGTTCTTTTGAAATTTCTATTCATCAAAGAATCCTGAAAACAATTGGACACAACTGTTTTCAACATTGATAATAATAATGAATGTTTTTTTTAGCATAAAATCCACATATGAGAGTGATTTCTGAAGGATCATGTGACACTGAAGACTGGAGTAATGATGCTGAAAATTCAGCTTTGATCACAGGAATAAATGACATTTTAAAATATATTAATATAGAAAACAGTTATTTTAAATTTTCATAATATTTAACAATATTACTGTTTTTTTATCAAATAAATGCAGCCTTGGTGAGCAGAACAGACTTCTTTAAAAAAATAAAAAAATCATACCGATTCAAAACTTTTGACTGGTAGTAGGCTATATATATAGCCTATATATATTTATACACACACACACACACACACACACACACAGTAGATCATACAAATATATATTGATTGTGTTTGAGTTTAGCAGAGATCAGTGCTGAGTCCGTGGAGAAGACAGTGATTCTGCTTAAAGAGAAAGCAGAAAGTGGAGATTCTCAAGCCGCCTTTCTCCTGGGACAGTTACACTATGAGGAGGTGATGATGCCTAAAGTCTCTCTTATTTAACCTGCGCACAGATTCTATAGGTTATGCAAAGCCAGAATCATGTGGGAATGTGATCCATGACTCGTGACTGCTGGTGTGTGTTCTTCAGGGCCGCTTCACAGAAGCAGAGATCATCTTCGACGGCATTAAAGATGAAGATCCCCGAGCTCTATATCAGCTGGCTGTCATGTATTACGATGGACTTGGAACCAAAGAAGACCTTGTGAGGACCTTCTTATTCATGATATCTCATAAAAGCAACTAAAATTGGAGCGCAACAGTCGGAAGTCAACTCCATTCATTTTCCCCATATGAAAACTGATTTTGAATGATAACTCATAAACCTTTAAAGACAGCCCAACTGTGAGCTACGAGGAAGTTAATCGATGGTGTTTGCTTCTGTTGAAACCGTTAGCCCGCATTATTTCAACTTATTTATAAAAGAATCGCGTTCAACAGCTAAATTCGTGGTGATAAACTACATTACCCATAATGCTGTACAGAAAATTCCACCAATCAGAGTCGAGACAAGCAAAACCACCAAAACAGCTCTTTAGCTCCGCCCACTCCCATAAACAAGCTCTCTACACTCAAAATACTGAAATGTTTGTATATATATATATATTCAACATATTAAATGAGTAGTTCGCCCATTTTTTAGTTTGTGTCATTCGCAATGCTTCATGGGATTGTAGTTATTTCCCTCACTGAAGTCCTTAAACACACAGTCTTGAATTTTTGTCTGATTTTCAAACAGGTTTTTTGCTTCAAACCAAAGTTTGCAGTGTTGTGATTCTCCTCGCAGCTGATTGGCTCGGTTCATGGCTTATAAGACTATTTTAAAATCCCTATGGAAAAAAATTAATGGAAAAAAATACTTCCGAAAAAGGGGACGGACACTGTTACACTCTATTAAAGTCTCACTGTCTATATGAAAACCACCAACTTTAACAGGGCAAAGCAATGGAGTTGATGAGAAGAGTTGCATTGTGGGATTCCTCGCACGCGGGCTCTGTCAGACACGCGGCGCTGTATAACCTGGGCCGGGCGTATCTGGAGGGTCACGGGGTCCAGGCGTCCAGCGCTGAAGCAGAGCGGTGAGAAACTATCACACAAAACACAAATCTGGTGCAACAATTGATCGTGTCACAATATATCGCAATACAAAAATGCAGCAACTATGTATCGTGGATAGTGACAATATGTATTGTGTATAGTTCACCCAAAATAAAAATTACTGTGTGAGAAAAAATTCAAGTTTACAGAGTTTTAGTGTCAGTACTACATTAAACAATGTTGAATATAATTACACACATTTTAATCAACATCACGATACTGAACTCACGATATTATTGCGATACTCCAAGACATGTTAAAAGATTAACAAAACATGTACCGTTGACTAAAATGCTAAGTTTGGTATTACTGTACGTTGTGTGTGTGAATGAATAGTCTTGGACTTGATGCTGAAACCCAAAGCACAGGACAATAGAGACACCAGAATAACAATATTCATGATTCTGAAGATGAAAATACAGAATTATTTTAGACGAATATGCAGTCTGTCACTGATTAGATATATTTAAAATAATGTCGGGCACTTTGTACAGAAATTCATTACATTATATTTAACATTATATAGTAGTTTAATGTAGTAATGTCGACATTGAATTTTTTCTCACACAGTAATTTTTATTTTGGGTGAACTACACACAACACATAATGTCACTATCCACAATACATATTGTTGCATTTTTGTATTGCCATATATTGTGACACGATCTATTGTGACGCCGCTAGTAGGGAAGTGTGATTTGTGACGGTGCCCTGTGTGTTCCCGCAGGCTTTGGCTCCTGGCAGCTGATGAGGGGAACCCGGACGCTAGTGTGGAGGCGCAGTCGTCTCTCGGCATGTTCTACTGCAGACCCGAGACCCTCGACCTCACCAAGGTCCTGAGATCATGCATGACCGGCTCCGCTTGCAGTCGCACAACCAGAGGATCAGCTCTGGGTTCCTTTGGGAATCTAATGGGATTTTCGAATAGTAATTTATGAGTGGAATAGGTCTGTGGTTGGCAAGTAAACTTGCAATTACGATAAAAAAGTCAGAATTGTGGGATATAAACTCGTAATTGCAATAAAAAAGTCAGAATTGTGGGATATAAACTTGCAATTACGATAAAAAAGTCAGAATTGCGGGATATAAACTCGCAATTGCAATAAAAAAGTCAGAATTGTGGGATATAAACTTGCAATTACGATAAAAAAGTCACAATTGTGGGATATAAACTCACAATTACAATAAAGTCAGAATTGTGGGATATAAACTCGCAATTACGATAAAAAAGTCACAATTGCGGGATATAAACTCACAATTACAATAAAGTCAGAATTGCGAAATGTAAACTCGCAATTACGATAAAAAAGTCACAATTGCGGGATATACACTCACCGGCCACTTTATTAGGTACACCTGTCCAACTGCTCGTTAACACTTAATTTCTAAGCAGCCAATCACATGGCGGCAACTCAGTGCATTTAGGCATGTAGACATGGTCAAGACAATCTCCTGCAGTTCAAACCGAGCATCAGTATGGGGAAGAAAGGTGATTTGAGTGACTTTGAACGTGGCATGATTGTTGGTGCCAGAAGGGCTGGTCTGAGTATTTCAGAAACTGCTAATCTACTGGGATTTTCACGCACAACCATCTCTAGGGTTTACAGAGAATGGTCCGAAAAAGAAAAAACATCCAGTGAGCGGCAGTTCTGTGGGCGGAAATGCCTTGTTGATGCCAGAGGTCAGAGGAGAATGGCCAGACTGGTTCGAGCTGATAGAAGGGCAACAGTGACTGAAATAACCACTCGTTACAACCGAGGTATGCAGCAAAGCATTTGTGAAGCCACAACACGCACAACCTTGAGGCGGATGGGCTACAACAGCAGAAGACTCCACCGGGTACCACTCATCTCCACTACAAATAGGAAAAAGAGGCTACAATTTGCAAGAGCTCACCAAAATTGAACAGTTGAAGACTGGAAAAATGTTGCCTGGTCTGATGAGTCTCGATTTCTGTTGAGACATTCAGATGTTAGAGTCAGAATTTGGCGTAAACAGAATGAGAACATGGAACCATCATGCCTTGTTACCACTGTGCAGGCTGGTGGTGGTGGTGTAATGGTGTGGGGGATGTTTTCCTGGCACACTTTAGGCCCCTTAGTGCCAATTGGGCATCGTTTAAATGCCACGGCCTACCTGAGCATTGTTTCTGACCATGTCCATCCCTTTATGGCCACCATGTACCCATCCTCTGATGGCTACTTCCACCATGTCACAAAGCTCTAATCATTTCAAATTGGTTTCTTGAACATGACAATGAGTTCACTGTACTAAAATGGCCTCCACAGTCACCAGATCTCAACCCAAAAGAGCATCTTTGGGATGTGGTGGAACGGGAGATTCGCATCATGGATGTGCAGCCGACAAATCTGCGGCAACTGTGTGATGCCATCATGTCAATATGGACCAAAATCCCTGAGGAATGCTTCCAGCACCTTGTTGAATCTATGCCACGAAGAATTGAGGCAGTTCTGAAGGCAAAAGGGGGTCCAACCCGTTACTAGCATGGGGTACCTAATAAAGTGGCCGGTGAGTGTAAATTTGCAATTGCAATGAAAAAGTCAGAATTGTGGGATATAAACTCGCAATTACGATAAAAAAGTCACAATTGCAGGATATAAACTCACAATTGCAATAAAAAGTCCGAATTGCGGGATATAAACTCGCAATTACGATAAAAGTCACAATTGCGGGATATAAACTCACAATTACAATAAAGTCAGAATTGCGAAATGTAACCTCGCAATTACGATAAAAAAGTCACAATTGCGGGATATAAATTTGCAATTGCAATGAAAAAGTCAGAATTGTGGGATATAAACTCGCAATTACGATAAAAAAGTCACAATTGCAGGATATAAACTCACAATTGCAATAAAAAGTCCGAATTGCGGGATATAAACTCGCAATTACGATAAAAGTCACAATTGCGGGATATAAACTCACAATTACAATAAAGTCAGAATTGCGAAATGTAACCTCGCAATTACGATAAAAAAGTCACAATTGCGGGATATAAATTTGCAATTGCAATGAAAAAGTCAGAATTGCGGGATATAAACTCGCAATTGCAATAAAAAAGTCAGAATTGTGGGATGTAAACTCGCAATTACGATAAAAAAAGTCACAATTGCGGGATATAAACTCGTAATTTCAATAAAAAGTCAGATTTGCGGGATATAAACTCGGAATTACGATAAAAAAAGTCACAATTGCGGGATATAAACTCGCAATTGCAATAAAAAGTCAGATTTGCGGATATAAACTCGTAATTACGATAAAAAAGTCACAATTGCGGGATATAAACTCGCAATTGCAATAAAAAAGTCAGAATTGTGGGATATAAACTTGCAATTACGATAAAAAAGTCACAATTGTGGGATATAAACTCACAATTACAATAAAGTCAGAATTGTGGGATATAAACTCGCAATTACGATAAAAAAGTCACAATTGCGGGATATAAACTCACAATTACAATAAAGTCAGAATTGCGAAATGTAAACTCGCAATTACGATAAAAAAGTCACAATTGCGGGATATAAATTTGCAATTGCAATGAAAAAGTCAGAATTGTGGGATATAAACTCGCAATTGTGATAAAAAAGTCACAATTGCAGGATATAAACTCACAATTGCAATAAAAAGTCCGAATTGCGGGATATAAACTCGCAATTACGATAAAAGTCACAATTGCGGGATATAAACTCACAATTACAATAAAGTCAGAATTGCGAAATGTAACCTCGCAATTACGATAAAAAAGTCACAATTGCGGGATATAAATTTGCAATTGCAATGAAAAAGTCAGAATTGTGGGATATAAACTCGCAATTACGATAAAAAAGTCACAATTGCAGGATATAAACTCACAATTGCAATAAAAAGTCCGAATTGCGGGATATAAACTCGCAATTACGATAAAAGTCACAATTGCGGGATATAAACTCACAATTACAATAAAGTCAGAATTGCGAAATGTAACCTCGCAATTACGATAAAAAAGTCACAATTGCGGGATATAAATTTGCAATTGCAATGAAAAAGTCAGAATTGCGGGATATAAACTCGCAATTGCAATAAAAAAGTCAAAATTGTGGGATGTAAACTCGCAATTACGATAAAAAAAGTCACAATTGCGGGATATAAACTCGTAATTTCAATAAAAAGTCAGATTTGCGGGATATAAACTCGGAATTACGATAAAAAAAGTCACAATTGCGGGATATAAACTCGCAATTGCAATAAAAAGTCAGATTTGCGGATATAAACTCGTAATTACGATAAAAAAGTCACAATTGCGGGATATAAACTCACAATTGCAATAAAAAGTCCGAATTGCGGGATATAAACTTGCAATTGCAATAAAAAAGTCAGAATTGTGGGATGTAAACTCGCAATTACGATAAAAAAAGTCACAATTGCGGGATATAAACTCACAATTACAATAAAGTCAGAATTGCGAAATGTAAACTCGCAATTACGATAAAAAAGTCACAATTGCGGGATATAAACTTGCAATTGCAATAAAAATTCTAAATTGCGGGATATAAACTCGCAATTAAGATAAAAAAGTCACAATTGCGGGATATAAACTCACAATTACAATAAAGTCAGAATTGCGAAATGTAAACTCGCCAATTACGATAAAAAAGTCACAATTGCGGGATATAAATTTGCAATTGCAATAAAAAGTCAGAATTGAGGGATATAAACTCGCAATTACAATAAAAAAAGTCACAATTGCGGGATATAAACTCACAATTGCAATAAAAAGTCCGAATTGCAGGATATAAACTCACAATTATGATAAAAAAGTCACAATTGCGGGATATAAATTTGCAATTGCAATGAAAAAGTCAGATTTGCGGGATATAAACTCGCAATTGCAATAAAAAGTCAGATTTGCGGGATATAAACTCGCAATTACGATAAAAAAAGTCACAATTGCGGGATATAAACTCGCAATTGCAATAAAAAGTCAGATTTGCGGGATATAAACTCGCAATTACGATAAAAAAGTCACAATTGCGGGATATAAACTCACAATTGCAATAAAAAGTCAGAATTGTGGGATATAAACTTGCAATTGCAATTAAAAAAAGTCCGAATTGCGGGATATAAACTTGCAATTGCAATTAAAAAAGTCAGAATTGTGGGATGTAAACTCGCAATTACAATAAAGTCAGAATTGCGAAATGTAAACTCGCAATTACGATAAAAAAGTCACAATTGCGGGATATAAATTTGCAATTGCGATAAAAAGAAAGTAAGAAATCCGGGATATAAACTTACAATTATGATAAAAAGGTCAGAATTGTGGCATGTAAACTTGCAATTGCGATTACTGGAGCAGACGTTCATGTTTTGTCACTAACAAACTTCTTAATAAACTACAAATACACTAGAATCTGAGTTCATGTGCGCGACGAGAACCGCTGTCGTCCACAGGGAGCCGTTTGCATTTTAAAAACACACAGTTCCTTCAAAATTCATGTTTGATGAAATTTATGTTATAAAACACAACGTGAGGCATCAAGTATGATAACCACAGATCTTATTCTACTCATAAATTCAGAAACTGCTTCAGAAAAGTGAATTAGCCATCCGTTGACCTAAACAAATTGTTGATAATAGCCTACATTTAACTGTTATATTGCATTATAAAAAATAATAATAATTATAATAAATTAAATTAAGAATGCATATCAATTATAATAAGTTAATTAAAATAACTTAATAATAAATATAAGTTAGAATACATATAATTTAAATACATTAAAACTTTACAATTGTAAAAAAAAAAATCTTTGTCTTACATGTATATATATAAAATTATAACCAAGTCAATTTTGACTTCTGTAGTTTCAACATTTTGTCAATTTCGACTTTTTGTCATAATTATAACTTTTTATGTCATAATTGTTTTAGAAAAGCATGATACGTGGCAGAAATAGACTTCCATGATGTAATCAAGTGAAATATAATTGACTTTTTATGTCGATTTAGAATTTTTATGTCATAATTATGACTTATGTCAATTTCATCTTATGTGAATTTTGAAAGTCAATTCCAACTATCTCTGCTTTTTAACTAATATCAAGGCTGCATTTATTTGATAAAAAATACAGTAAAAATAGTGAAATATTATTATAATGTAAATCAGCTGTTTTCTATGTGAATATACAGTAAAGTGTAATTTATTCCTGTGATCAAAGCTGTATTTTCAGCATCATTACTCCAGTCTTCAGTGTCACATGATCCTTCAGAAATCACTCTAATATGATGATCTGATGCTCAAGAAACAGTTATGATTATTATCAATATTGAAAACAGTTTCATATTTTAGTGGAAACCTTTATTTTTCAGAATTCTTTAATGAATAGTAAAGTAAACAAAAGTAACTTTATAAATGTCTTTACTACACTTTTGATCACCTTAATGCATCCTTAATTTCATCTTCCAGACCCCACACTTTTGAACAGTAGCGCATCTCTCAGACTCGTTTCTGAAATCATCGCTCAGGGAAATCTAATGCAGGTTTTTCAGATGTAGTAAACCTGTGTGTGTGTGTGTGTGTGTGTGTCAGGCGTTCTCGTGGCACTCGGAGGCGTGTGGGAACGGCAGTGTGGAGTCTCAGGGCGCTCTGGGAGTCATGTATCTGCACGGCCTCGGTGTGCAGAAGGACCCGGACTCGGCCCTGTTCTGCCTGAAGGACTCGGCGGAGAGAGGGAACGTTTACGCCCAGGGTCATCTGACGGCCTGCTACTACCAGCGCAAACTCTACTCCAGAGCCGCAGCACTGGGAGAACGGTGCAGCCACACACACACACACACACACACACACACACACACACACACACACACACAACCAAATAATCCGTTAGTAATGGGATTGACGGCTCAGTCGGACTGAAAAGCCTTCATGTAAACACTTTAATCGATTGGATTGAAAGGGGGGTTTATTCCTTTTCTAATCTGATCGAGAGAACATGTAAACACTTGATCGGATTGAGAACCGGAACTGAAAGGACTGCGCATGTGCAATGACGTAGTTATAGCGCAATGACGTGTAACGCGCTGTTCTTCTGTTGAATAAAGTGTCGTATAAATTAGTGTCCTGTAATTCTATAATTCTCCTTTCACTGTGAAGTGGAGCAGGACAACGGCCACCAGTGCTGGTCTCAGACTCTCATCCACACACGACTGGTTTAGAGCATTTTACTGCGTGATCAACAAATGCTCATTGTCTCCAAATTATGACTATAAATGTATAAATATTAAGTCTGCAGTTTAAATCCGTCAATATGGTTACTAATGGATTATGTGGTTGCATGTAAACGTAGCCGGTTTGATTCAGCATGTAATAACTGGTTTTGGCTGTTCTCAGAGTGTGTGGATACGAGGACACGAGCGCCATCGCGAGACACACCGGCTGTCTGGAGGAGTTCATCAGGAAGGGCATCACTATTGCCATGTTTTACTTCGCACGCTGCCTTTATCTGGGCCGAGGGGTCCCGCAGAACAGAGACAGGGCGAAAAGATACTTCACACAGGTACACTAAAGTGCAAATAGAGATAGACGGTATTTACACCTAGTGGAAATGGCAAAAAAAGAATTTTCTTTGCAGTTATGCCGAGTTCAGACTGCACGATTTTCAAAATAATCGGGTCACTGTTGTTTTCACACTGCATGACTATCTGGGGTAACGTTCAGTTGCTGCTGTGTTCACACTGCACGATGGATCGGCGACAGGAGGTTTCACACCGCATGACTTTACAAAAGAAAGAATCGCCGACAACTTCTGCCTGGTCCGCAAACTACGTTTTACAACCAAACAAACGCGAGAAGTGATAGGAAATAACGGAAGATCACGCGTGCGTGAGACCGGAGTTCTCGCGCGACACTGAATTTGTTATTAAAAATGATAGCCAACAAATTGTCTGTGCACTGATTTGTAGCGAAAATAAAAAAATAAAAAACAGTTTATGCAGGAAATGGTTGGGAAGACGAGGGGAGCAAGGACTGTGTTTTGCAAAGAGAGTTGGGGGTAAATACATAATTTTGCAAATGTCCTGCTGTTGCTGCTGGTCATGCAAATGTTTGTGCTTTGTTTCTGTTTGATACAATTGTAAATATAGGCCTATCTATTAAAATACTGATATTCTGGTCTATAACTCCTCCTCCTCCCTATATCTTGCTCTCTCATTGGCTGTCGGTCATCGCCGATGTAGTTTTCAGTAGTAGTGGGAAGTTCGGATCATTTTACTGACTCGGATCTTTGAGTCTCGTTCAGCAAAATGAACGAATCTTTTTTCGAGTCATTTCGTTCATTTCGTTCATTTCAGCATAATATAATTAAAATGGCATGTTAAATATCCCAACACATCTAGAACTTACGAAAATGTTGATTACATTTGTAAAAATAATAAAAATAAATTATAGGGTAATGCAGCCAAAGCCAAATTATAAGAAACCGACATTTTTATGAATTGATTACTTGTTGGGTTTTAAGTTCAGGCTATTGCAGTCTGATTCTGTTAGTTCACCTCACCTCCTCATCCGAGACGTTCTTTCCTTTGCAACTTCATATTTATCAGGTTTGTTCTCCTCCTCTTGTGTCTCGAGACGTTAGTTGTCGACTCGTCAGTGTCTGACTCTGATCTGTCTGCTGGGCCGTGCCGTGTGTGATACAGCAGGGCCGGAAAGAGTAATGATTAGTTCATCTTTCGAGTCTCGAGTTCGGGTTCGGCCGGGTCCGAGTCTTTCGTTCTTCCTGTCAGTCACATAGAGGCTATGCTGTCAGTACCGGAAAGAGTAATGATTAGTTCATCTTTCGAGTCTCGAGTTCGGGTTCGGCCGGGTCCGAGTCTTTCGTTCTTCCTGTCAGTCCCATAGAGGTTATGCTGTCAGTACCGGAAAGAGTAATGATTAGTTCATTTTCTTCGAGTCTTTGGGTTTGAGTCCTTCGTTCTTTTGTCACGTGACCGCTGGTATCTCGCATCAAATACAATATTAGATTCGTATTATTGACTGCGTCTGAATGTATATTGTTTTATATTTAGGAATTAAAATACAAAATATGTGAAATAAACATTATCTGAAAAATAAAAGTTCCATCTTATTATTGTCCCTGTCCGTTTCTTTAAATGTTTCTTGTGCATCTGTGGTGTGTTTTATTATATATTATACATTAATTAACTACTATTATATTATACATTAACTACGTGCTTGTTTGTAAAAAAGGTTGTGAATTAGTAGGCTATTCAATACGGTGACAAGTCACGTGACAAAAGAACGAAGGACTCAAACCCGAGGACTCAGAAGATGAACTAATCATTACTCTTTCCGGTACTGACAGCATAGCCTCTATGTGACTGACAGGAAGAACGAAAGACTCGGACCCGGCCGAACCCGAACTCGAGACTCGAAAGATGAACTAATCATTACTCTTTCCGGTACTGACAGCATCGCCTCTATGGGACTGACAGGAAGAACGAAAGACTCGGACCCGGCCGAACCCGAACTCGAGACTCGAAAGATGAACTAATCATTACTCTTTCCGGTACTGACAGCATAGCCTCTATGGGACTGACAGGAAGAACGAAAGACTCGGACCCGTCCCGAACCCGAACTCGAGAGAGATGAACTAATCATTTCCAGTACAGATTCAGAAACCATATGTTGCGCAATGCGCATGCGCGATCAACACAAAATGAACGAATCACTCTCTGAGACAAGTAACTCGGTAGTCCCGAGTCATATTAAAGATTCGTTCAAAATGAACGAATCGTTCATGAACGACACATCACTAGTTTTCAGTCAGAACACATTCACACAGCAGGATTGTGAATCGCCGACAGGTCCAGATATTCAGCATGCCAAATATCTCACGGGCGTCGGCGATTCTCTCAGATCGCGTCTTTGCTCATTCACATTGCGTGATTGTCACTCGCGTGAACGAGCACCGATTTGCCTGTGATTTCGGGCATTTGTCGGCGATTTCTCAAAACCTGTCGGCGGGCTAAAATCGTGCAGTCTGAACTCGTCTGCGAGCGTTTTTGATGCGTTGTTGGCTCTTTCATACTAACAGATTGGCGAGCATTCATCGGCCGCTAATCTCCCGCGATTTGCACGCGATAACACCCTGACCTGTCGGCGAGCTCAACGATTTGCAAATCGGGCTTAAAATCATGTAGTGTGAACTAGGCTTAAAATGCCCTGCTGATGAGAAAAGATTTGGGAAATAATCAAAGTAATTCTGACTTTTTAAATTGCAGTTGAGAGATTATCTCTCAAAAAGTCTGCGTAATATATAAACTCACAATTGCGATAAAGTCAGAATTGCGGGATATAAATTCGCAATTGCGATAAAACAAAATCTGAATTGCTGGATATAAACTTGCAATTGCGATTAAAAAGTCAGAATTGTGGTATATAAACTCAAAATTATAATTAAAAAGTCAGAATTACAGGATATAAACATTTGCATTAAAAAAATCATAATTGTGGGATGTAAACTTGCAATTGTGATAAAAGTCAGAATTGTGGGATGTAAACTTGCAATTGTGATAAAAAAGTCAAAATTGTGAGATATAAACTTGCAATTGCGATAAAAAAGTCTGAAATGTGGGATATAAACTCGCAATTGCGAATTTGCGATAAAAAAGTCAGAATTGTGGGATATAAACTCACAATAACGATGAAAAGTCAGAATTGTAGGATATAAACTTGCAATTGCGATAAAAAAGTCAGAATTGAGGGATATAAACTCGCAATTGCGATAAAAAAGTCAGAATTGTGGGATATGAACTTGCAATTGCGATAAAGTCAGAATTGCGGGATATAAACTTGCAATTGCGATAAAAAAGTCAGAATTGTGGGATATGAACTTGCAATTACGATGAAAAGTCAGAATTGCGGATGATTTGAGCGATCTGTACTGTATAAAGCTGACTGGACTGCTCTCGTTGTCGTCAGGCTGCCAGGATGGATCCAGAAATCTGTCAGGAGCTGCAGATGAACGTCGTACACGGCAGAATATAAACCACACATCACTCGTTTCATCTCAGAGAAGTTCAGTATTATTTCAGTGTGATATAAAGATGATCCAAAGAGAGGCTAGTTTAAAATGCATGTGCCAAATTCTTACAAATGTAATCTTTATATTCAAGTCGGTTTTATTTTTTTATGGAAAAAGTTTAGCTAATATCTTGAATATGTGTGTATATATAAAATGTGTTATTTTTCAAAAAGTTTTCAAACATATTTTTTTAATGAATGTTATAAATATTTTAAAACTAATACATAACTTTTTTTTTCTTTGAAATCATTACACGTATAAATACATCAACTGGATATTATTTACTTCCCCCACAAAAGAAGAAAGAAAACAATAAAAACAACAAAAAATAATTTAATTTAGAAACTGAAGTACTCACTAAATTGTATTCAAGTGCATTTAAATGTATATATTTAATATTTTCTATATTGAAGACATGACACATGACAGATCTTCTTTTGCAATTTATTGCTTATAAATGCTCTAGCCTATTTTTGGTAAAAATAAAAGTCTATAATAATATTAATAATAATAATAATAATATCACAAACAGAACCTTCACAATAACTGTACATGACATATTGCACGATTAAAAGCCTTCATAATGGTCACAATAATATGTAGAGCGTTTACATTGGTCTGGCTTCTTTTTACACTCAAAATTCACATTACAAAGCAAAACCCCCTAGAAGAAAAGGAAAGAGAGAAGCAGAAGATGACAGCTGGCAGTGAGTGACCGGGCCTGTTCCTCCAAAAACACAAGAACAGATTAAAACACAAGCACATATTCATGACGCTCCCTCGAGTCACGTGATTGAGAGAGCCGCCTCAGGCCTGGACGGCGTCCACGCTCAGCTCAGGATACAGCTCTTTAAGAAGCATCTCCAACAAGATCTACAGACAGAGAGAAAACATCGGTATATTCATCATGTCCTCCGCTAGATGGCACTACAGTATCATCACTGAAGCCCAGACACCACAGGTGAAACTCGAGAAATTAGGATATGGTGCAAAAGTTCAGTAATTCAACTTAAAAGGTGAAACTAATATATTATATAGACTCATTACATGCAAAGTGAGATATTTCAAGCCTTTATTTGTTATAATTTTGATGATTATGGCTTACAGCTTATGAAAACCCCAAAGTTAAAAGTAGAATATTGTGAAAAGGTTTTCATAAGCTGTAATCCATAATCATCACAATTGAGGTGTAGATGCGCGACAGCAGGGTTAGTGTGTGTGTGCGACTCACGTAGAGGAGATGTCTGTTGGCTCGGGTCTCCTGAAGGGCGTTGAAGATCTTGATGATCCCGTATCTGGCGTTCTGTTGCCCAACCAGATTCTGCAGTGCGTCTGGACAACGAGAACAAGCGTTTCTGATTATATTCCAGTCTCAGTCGACCAATCAAAGACTGGCTGCTGTAATAGCGCTCGCTGCAGCCTGTGTGTGTGTGTGTGTGTGTGTGTGTGTGTGTGTGTGTGTGAGTGAGAGAGTGAGCGATTGAGTGTGTGTGTGTGTGTGTGTGTGTGTGAGTGAGTGAGAGAGTGAGCGATTGAGTGTGTGTGTGTGTGTGTGTGTGTGTGTGTGTGTGAGCGTGTGTGTGTGTGTGTGTGTGTGTGTGTGAGCGTGTGTTTGTTTTTGTGATATATGAGGACACAAATGTGTATAATGACATGCATATTACACTGGTATTACAACTTACACGTGATATATGAGGACATTGCATGAGTCCTCATATTTCAAATAGCTTAAAAAACATAAAAAACAATGTTTTTTTTTAAATGTAAAAATGCAGCATGTCTCCTGTGATGGGTAGGTTTAGGGATAGGGGCAGTGTAGGGGGATAGAATATACAGTTTGTCCAGTATAAAAGTCATTACGCCTATGGAATGTCCTCATATATCACAAAAACAAAGCTGTGTGTGTGTGTGTGTGTGTGTGAGTGAGTGAGAGAGTGAGCGATTGAGTGTGTGTGTGTGAGTGTGTGTGTGTGTGTGTGTGAGTGTGTGTGTGTGTGAGAGAGTGAGCGATTGAGTGTGTGTCTGTGTGTGATTGAGTGTGTGTGTGTGTGTGTGTGTGAGTGAGAATTGTGTGAATGAGTGAGTGAATTTGTGCGAATGTATGTGTGTGTGTGTGTGTGTGTGTGTGTGTGCGCATGTGTGTGTCTGAGAATGAGAGAGTGTGTGACAGAGAGAGAGTGTGTGTATGTGAGTGAGAGAGTGTGTGTGTGAGAGAGTGAGTGTGTGAGAGAGAGAGTGAGTGAGTGAGTGTGTGTGTGTGAGTAAGAGTGTGTGTGCGCGTGAGAGTGAGAGAGAGAGTGTGTGTGCATGAGTGAGAGAGAATTGTGTGTGTGAGTGAGTGAGTGTGTGTGCGTGAGTGAGAGAGAGAGAATTGTGTGTGTGTGTGAGAGAGAGAGTGTGTGTGTGTGAGTGAGAGAGAGTGTGTGCGTGAAAGTGAGAGAGTCTGTGTGCGTGTGAGAGTGAGAGAGAGTGTGTGTGCGTGAGTGAGTGAGAAAGAATTGTGTGTGTGTGTGAGAGAGAGAGAGAGAGAGAGAGAGAGAGAGAGAGAGAGAGAGAGAGAGTGTGTGTGTGTGTGAGTGAGAGAGAGTGTGTGTGCGTGAGTGAGAGAGTGTGTGTGTGTGTGTAATTCTAAAATAACACTGTTCAGTATTTTCCAGAAGCATCTAGAGGCGGAGTCATGTGTTGATGAAGTATTTCGCTGTCATCCATGATACATTTTGGCACTATGAGTTTTGTGATAGAAACTAATAATCTCATGCACAGGAGCTCTGACTCGTTATTACCGTAATCCGGACTAATGTGTGTTTTTGAAGCGGCTCCTGTGTTGCGCTCACCCGGGATGTTGTCGAGAAGCTTCTGCTGCGCTCTCTCCTTGGTCTCCTTGCGCTCGCTCTCCGAGCGGCTTCTGTTGTGCGGCGCCAGTCTCCCGTTGGGCCAGAACGTGTCCCGGAATATATTAATGTAGTAGACCAGCATCTGCTCGCTGAAGATCCAGTGTACGGTGTCTCGGATCTGCCTGAGGACGGAGAGCGAGAACAACTGAGTGAGCAGATCCAGCATGTCACATGACCAGCGTCCAGCTCTGCTTACTTGTTTATGGTGCGTCCAAACGTGACCTGGACTAGTGCAATTAGTGTCTTCCTCACCCACTTAAACACTGCCGAGAGAAACACACACACGAGGATGTTACTCCATCTGATGCACATGCTTAGAAAAAAGGTTATTTTAGGAAAAAAGGTTATTTTAGAAATCAAGGGTTCTCAACGCTAAAGATGATTTATGTCAAGAGGGTTCTATATAAGGAGACATGTCTTGATACTTTCATGCTTCACAGGTTAGTTCAGTTTTTATAGTGATAAAGTATGTTGGGGAGCTGTTTAATTCATCAAATTTAATCAAAATAATAAATTAATTAAAGAAAAGAAATCAAGCTTTTAATGTTGTTTATGTGTCTATGTGGTGTTTTTAATACGCTTAAACCATGTGTAAGTTCATAAGTCGACAGCATTGCTGAGTATTTTCTGCTTAAAACTGCAGTGAACCAAAGACAGTCTCAAAAACACGGTTTGAAATCGCTGGTGTTTCTGACGTCACAAACGACCTTGTAACCAATCAGATCAACGTGTGATCGTCAACCAGTGGATCTCTGAGCTGAGGGAGGGAGTGGAGGCGGGGCTCATTTGCATATTCATAGAACCACGCATACTAAATGAGGCAAGGGTGTCGAGTTACATTCAAGCTATTTTAAGACATGAAGATTTTTGTCATTTTGTTGATCAAAGATGAGTTTAAATAGATAAAATGATTGACTACAGTGGGACTTTAAACCAGAAACAGTTCCATTTCAACTTCAACTTATTTTAGTTTATAGCAAAGGCAACATTTCTAATTTAAATTTTTCAACTAATATTCATATTTTATTTTATTTCTGCTTTATTTGAATGAACAGAAATGTTTTTAATAGTTTTAGTCCTGCTATACGAAGCATTAGCCGTTAGTCCGTCACACGGTCCTGCGGTCAGAGAGGTGTTGAGTTTCACAGACGCGAGAGCTCAACGTTTCATCACTGCGGGTGACGTGTGTGTGTGTGTGTGTGTGTGTGTGTGTGTGTGTATCTACCAAACGGCAACCTTCCGGTCTCTCTCTTGATTCAACACTGAAGAGACTTAAACTGCAGTTCCTCCACTGGCCACTAGAGACCGGCTGCAGAAGAGACTCAATCCCATAAACCCCCATGTTAAAATGCCCAACTTTACAGCAGAATAAAACATGTTTACAGTCTGGTGCAAAAAGTGGTTTTGGTCTAAATCGCTAATGTTGCCCTTCATGACGACTGTGAGGCGGGTGAATGTTTTTTATAACTCATCCGTTTAAATTATAATAAGCCTTAAAGTTGTGCATAATTAAGGGCGTGGCCACTTGAGTGACAGGTGGATTGCAGCTGATGTCACTACTAGCCGTTTGTCTGTTAGCGTCACGTCACCTCAGCTAATCCGCCTCGCTGCACATTTTCGTTTATTCGGGAGTGACGCTGCCAAGATGGCAACGGCCGGCTCCGCCCACTCTGGGCTTCAGAAACACTCTTCAGAAACACTACAGGTGACGTCACACACACTACGAACATGTTTCATACAGTCGATGGTTGTTTGGCTTGTACTCACTGCCCCTGAGCTCAAAGATCTCCCCGATCAGCATGAAACACGGCTCCGCCAGTGCGTCCTTCCTCCCGTCAGTCTCGTCACCGTAATCTGAGAGATCACTGTCATCCTCGGCCTCGTCCTGACACACACACACACACACATTTATTAGACAATAATATTGTAAATGTATGTTGTTTTAAAAATGTTTAATGTACATATTTTTACAAGAAAACTATTTTTTCAGTTATCATTTCTGAGAACTGAAATAAAGTTTTGTGTCTGTGTGTGTGTGAGTGTGTGTGTGTGTGTGTGTGTGTGTGTGTGTGTGAGTGAGTGAGTGTGAGTGAGTGTGAGTGAGTGAGTGAGTGAGTGTGTGAGTGAGTGTGTGAGTGAGTGAGTGAGTGTGTGAGTGAGTGTGTGTGTGAGTGAGTGA